GGGTGGGACCCCCAATGTTTTGTAGAGTTTTTCGTCCGGGGGTAGTGCATGGATGGTGCCGGGGCTCAGAGCTCTTACATAGAGAGTGATTCAGTCACTCTGCCAGAGCTTGAGCGAAACACACTGGAAGCTTTGAGTGAACTTCATTTGAGAATCGATCAGCTTCGAGCAGTGTGCCGGCTGCTGTCCTACAGTGTCAGTCTTCTGGGGAATCGTTTGCAATCTCTTGAAAGGAAGATCCCTCAGGATAACACTGACATCGATCTTCAGGAGTGGGATTGATGGCTTCTGAAGACGGTGATGTCAGGGCAGTTGCAGAAGGCACGAGCCTCGCTCTTCCTGAGGACATAGATGCTCGTGTGGGAATAATTGAGGTGGATGATCCACCCGTGTCAAGCCAGGTGGAACATTTTCCTCACCTGGCGAATGCTGTCCAAGATGCGGGGCTTAGTTTAGGCAGGTCAGTTCTTGATGCTAAGTTGCCTTGGGAATTGCCGGGACTTGACCATGTGTTTGGCAAATCCCTTCACAGCCTGCCGCAGTCCAGCTCTGACATTTTGCCGACAGCAGTACCTTTTCCCTTGAAGGAGAGTCTTGAGGAAGCGTCAGCTCCGCGCTCGTCCGAGCAGAGAGCCAAGAAAGCACGAACCAGCATTTCACTTGGAGCCTGTTTCAGAGATGTGATTAATTTCAGTCTCGTTGAGACAGACACTGCCTTGGAAGAAGTGAAGTGGGCTAGAGCTCTTGAGACCTGGATGGCGGTGATCATGGAGGGGCCTGATCTTTCTTCCATAGGAGTTAAGATTAGTGGCAAAACTGGAAGTGATGCTTTGAAAAATCTTCGTGAGCTTTTCGGCCGAAAATCTTCCAGCACTGTTGCTAAACGTGGAAGTGCTTTGCAAAAGTATGTTCGCTGGTTGCACGGTGCATTCCCTGGCCAGCCGGCCTTGCCTTTCTCTTCACAGCATATTGACGAGTATCTGGAGAGTTTGCAGGAGCAGCGGTGCAAGCCAGGTGCCTTCACGAGTTTTACTGAAGCTGTGAATTTTGGGGTGCATGTGGTAGGTTTGCCCATCAACCGTTGCGAACCTTAACCCTTTCCAGAGGGGAGCAGCCGCCAATCAGATCCTTAGCCCTTGGGCTCGCGGGGCAGTTGCTCTGGAAATGCAGAAGAAGGCAGAGCGCGTGCAGAGTGCTGTGCTCAGCACGGATGCTGTGGTGTTTCTTGAAAACTTCCTGGCAGATGCAGGGCAGGACACTGTGGATCGCTATGCTGCTGGGAGTCTACTGTTTGCAGTTTTCAGTCGGAGCCGCATCAGTGACTTGAGGAAGGTCCGTGATTGGCACATGGATTTTTCTTGCATCAAGAGTCACGGCCAAGGATTCCTCGAGTGCAGCACTCGCAGTCATAAGACAGCGAGGGAGGTGGCAGCCAGTGGGCTGGCCATGCCTCTGGTGGCACCTGCTTTAGGGCTTAGAGGCGTCAGCTGGGCTGTGATTTTTGCTGAGGTTGCTACTGCCGTAGGCTTGGGTTTTGAAGATCGTGAAGAGGGGCCGCTCTTGCCGGCTCCCGATCAGAGTGGAGGATGGTTGCCGAGATCAGTCACTACAGCCGAGGCCGGGGCTTGGTTGCGCCAGATTCTTAGCAAAGGAAGCATGCCGAACGAAGGTGTCACAGGACACAGCCTGAAGAGCACCACACTTTCGTGGTGCAGCAAGTTCGGGATGGATAAACATACGAGGCTTCAACTGGGCCACCATGCGACAGGAGATGGGACTCTCAATACGTATGGGCGGGACTTTTTGGCCCCTGCCCTTCGGAAATACGACGATCTCCCGTCGGCTATCCGCAAGGGAACATTCTATCCCGATCTCACCAGGTCTGGACGTGTCAACCCCACTGTTGATGCTGTGAAAGTTGAGGTTTCGGATGATGAAGCCATGGACTTTGGGTTGCCGAGCTTTGCATCTGAAGATTCTTTTGAGAAGGTGTTGCCAACCCCCGTCGAGGATGACAACGATGCCAACGGCGGGAAGCTCGCGTCTTCCTCAGACAGTGGAAGTTCTCAGGGTGAGGCTCGTGCTGGTTTCGAGCGTTCGGAGTCTGAAGGAATTGAACCAGCATGTTCGGAGGCGAAGCCTAAACCGAGCTGGGAGCCTGGGTACATGTACAAACACGTTCGAACTCATGTCATTCACTTGAGCGAGCAGGGCAGTTCATCAGGAGTTTTTGCCTGTGTCGCAAGATGACCGCGGATTTTAAATTGGTGGAGCAAGCTAAATTTCTTTCGTTTCGCAAGTGCAAGACCTGTGAAGGAGCTAAGCCACTCCGCGATACAGGGGCTTTGGTTCAAGCCGTTAATGCCCTTAGGCAGCGAAAGGATGCTGCCGAAAGTTCGGAGCGCTGA